GACCGGACCTGAACCGCTGGACCAGCTGGCCTCCCGGTCTCACAGGACCGGACCCGAACTGCTGGACCAGCTGTCCTCCTGGTCTAACAGGACTGGACCCGAACCGCAGGACCAGCTGGCCTCCCGGTCTCACAGGACCGGACCTGAACCGCAGGACCAGCTGTCCTCCTGGTCTAACAGGACCGGACCCGAACCACCAGACCGGACCTTAACCGGACCTGAACCCCTGTGCCCTCAGCTCCCTCAGTCACGCCTCTGCGCCTCAGGCCTGCTCACTGGTGATCCCCCTGAAAGAGCCGAGCCCCTCTGTCTGAGCGCTGAGCCTCCTCGCTGCTCGTGCCGGGGGGGGGTATGGGGCGTGGGGGCAGGGAGAGAGAAACTGGGTCAGCGCCCGAGTCAGAGTGAGACTCTCGGCTCCGCCTGCGGGCGACGCCCCCTGCACTACGCCTTCCGTTCGGCCTCTCCTTCGACCCCAGGCAGACATAGAGGACGCCTCGAGAGGCAGCGAAAGGGAGCCCTGTTCCCAGTCTGACCCAGTCAGGCTCACCTGACCCCACATCCCAGGGTCGCAGGTCAAGGGGTCGTCCTCGGCCCTGAAGGCCGCACAGGATTGTGGGTACTGCCCCGGGGACGAGCTGAGGGGGATCTGCAGGCCACAGTCTGAGGGAGAGAGAGAGAGAGACAGAGAGAGTGTAGGAACAAATGGGAAATGAATCACCCCGATCCTGAAAACAGTGGCTAGCCTCTTCAACACATGAGTATCCCAGCATCTTAAAATCCTCTCTCCCCCCCCCCTTCTCTCCCCAGGAAGACGTGCCCACGGAGCTGGGGCCAGCACAGATAGGAAATACAGCCTGCTCCGGTCTAATACAGTGATCAGGGCACAGGCACAGGCAGGACGGAGAATTCCAGCTGGTCTGCAGGAGCACAGAGCCAGGGAGAGGGTGGGCTGCAGTACTAGGAGTGTCCAGCAGGCGTCAGCACTGGTGTGGGCTCACACCGCCGCACAGCACACACAGACACAGCCTGCGTACGCTGGGATATCAGTACTGCTCTTGTTTCAAGTTATAAAGATTTTCTGTTAACAGAATACGCTGATGTGAAGCTCTGTCTGTCACGACGCCCACCCCAGCCTCGCAGGTGGCAACAGGCGGGGATGCAAAACACCTGGCACCAAACGGAGGCGGCACCAACACCGCCGCCGGTGCACGCACCCCACGGTAAGACGAAACCTCCGCATTCCGAATGTGCCGACCTTGGAGTGGGGGGGGGTCACCCGCTCGGCTCTAGTTACCTGGGCTCTGGTAGCAGTCGGGGGCGGCGTGGCCCCTCAGCAGGGAGGGCTGGCCGAACTCGTGCTGCTCCTCGGCGAACGGGGGGCCGCCGGCGTCCCGCTCCGGGGCAGGGGGGTAGTATCCAGCAGGGGCCCTGCCCTGTGCCGCGCCGGCGAAGGAACTGGTCGTGGCCTGGCCGCCGGCCGGCAGCCCCTCGGGGTGCCCGGCGAGGTGGGGCGTCCAG